ATACTCATATCGTCAGCGTCGGCATACCTAGTCTCCTCATCAATGTGTTATGCTACATCAATTCAGTATCAGTTACACTTAGAAGAAGTGAAAATGAAGCCACAACCTTGACAGGAGCCTTAAGAAGACATGGGCTAGAGTCCACGATGCCTATTTACATGCTACCTGGAGACTTCAAGTTCGCACCAGTAAATAATGGAGTGGGAGCCATTGCTCCAAATTATTTCTTAAGGACCTTGTAGTTATTAGAAATGTGTAATTATAAGCGGACGCTTCCGAAACATTTCTTTCCAAGCAGAAGTATAAAAAGAAAATCACGCAGACTATGACAAGTGCAGGGCGAAAAAAGATGCATCAGCCGTGAATCGAACACGGGGCCCATCGATGGCAACGATGGATTTTACCACTAAACCACTGATGCGAATCATAGCGGGTCATTAAAAACTGAGGTCACTCATTCGGCATGATACTATGCGAACAACATGAGCCTGTGTTTTGCTCTCTAAGATTACAAAGACACCAATTCACATACGATTTCTCAATCAGCATGACCTATTAAATGCTGATAATAACTAGATATATGTTATTTAGGTAAAGTAAGGGATACCTCGTAACGAGGAGGATAGCTTGCACAATAATTAATGTGTGTCTTCCTTCGTGGTTTAGGAGATATAGGTAAGGGGGAGGGGAGTGAACTTGCAGTCAAGTTAAAAATTTCTACATAGCTAGGACACCAAATTATTTACAGTGTGTATTAAGTAAATGTACATAGAGAACAATGAAACTGTGATATATACCAGTACAATGCATAGTCGCAATTGGCACATCAGCCGTTCGCGACATGACTTCATAAAACCCCCTCTGCCTGTTTATGCTGTGTCGAGGACAACAACTTCAGCCTCAACGTCACCCACGCTCTCAACAGACAGCTTATCACCTGCGCGCACGTCATCTACGAATGCGCCATCACCCTCATCATATACTTCCTCCCGGCCATCTAGGCGGATCTTCGCCTTGCCTCCCTTGGCCATGGTAAGATGAATGTACACCTTCCTCTTGGTATTCTCCGTAGCATTAGCGCCGACTACCCACTCGAACCTCTTCTGCGGCGCGATGATGCCAGCACTCATGACGAAATCGGCGTGAATGGGTATAGTGCCGTCAATAGTAGGTTCCGCGGCCTGCTCCTGCTGGTGTGTGGCATCCGGGCCACCTTTCAGGGGGCTCAGAATGGGGACGAAGCCAAGTCTCTTCTTCTCCTCGTCGAAGTGGCGCGTATGATACCGCGGGGTGAGCCCACGCTTCCACGGGATGGCCCAGATCTGGAGGAAGTGGACTGTGTCCTTGTTATGCTCGTTCTGCTCAGAGTGCGCAATGCCGGTACCACCGGTAGTGAATTGCACGTCGCCCCGATGCATGCGATAGAACTTGTCCGACTGGGCACCTTCTGCGCCCTTCTTGAGCATGCTGTCACGGTGCGTCAATTCGCCCGAGATGATGTAGCTGAAGATCTCAAAGTCCCGGTGAGGATGGGTGGGAAACCCCGAGTTGGGCTTTACGCGGTCTTCGTTCAGCACCCGTAAGGAGCCGAAATGTGTGAAGTTGGGATTGAACCAGTCAGCAAAGGAAAAGCTATGGTAGGTATTCAGCCAGCCATGATCTGAGTGACCACGAGCTGCCGAGCGGTGGGGTGTGACTTTTGCGTGTGAAAGTGTTTTTGACATGGCGATCTTGACGGTGTTCATATGCTGCGGTGAATCGATGGGAGACGAAATGGGTAGACCTGAAGTGAGATGTGAGTCTGTTGGTGATAGCTGTGCTTCTTGGGATTTGGAAATAGTCGAATGTTGGTACTCAGGTCGTGCTCCTTGGAAGAAACCCGTGATGATATTCGAATTATAGATGATGATAGAAAATGAAACTACTAAAATCGATAGGGCGAGGATGATGCGCTTCATATATACTTCTTTGCTATGGTCCCTCGAACCCATGAAATTGACTAAACACTTGTAGGTTTTTACGGTGTCATGTTCTTCTTAGAAAGCAGATTACAATAGTTCGAACAATCTAGCTGCAACGGGAACGAGCTGGGATAATGCTTTATTCATTCCAGGGCAATGCCTCGATCTATTACGAACTTCTCGTCTCGTCAAATTCGCTGTCTTAGTCACTGAAGACCTACATCTGGAGGGGTTCATGGAGGACTAAAAGACGCTCTAAGCCAAGCTTCCTATGTAAGTCAGCGATTACATACAGGTGGACCATGCTGAATGATGCTGAGTGAGCCCCACCCTAGCTATATAGGTGCTAGCTCTTTAACCCACATAGCCGGAAGCCCTTATTACCTAAGCTCAAGCTCCACTTACAGCTCGAGAAATAAATTTTACGCGCAAATTTTAAGAGCTCTTGCTTCTCTTCATCAACCAAGTTGGTCGGTCTTGATCCGAAGCCCTATCGCCACACATCCTGGTATCGCCACTGCAGCGCATGGGGCTCAGTGTAAGTAGGCAACTGATATACATTCGATTTAATATCTAATGTAAGTTCAACGATATGTTTCCTACTTCGTCGTCCTGGGTTGTGGTCTTTTTTCACCCTTCCTACCCTAAAGATGAAGCTGCACCAGCACTCTGTAGCTGTTTGCTGCCTTCATCACATTACGCGACTGTTGTATGATGAGTATTTATTTCTTTCACTGTTCGACTTCTGATCATCAATGAGGATACCTTTACTCTGATAATAACATAGATACTATGTCTTTTTGTTTATGGCCTGTGAGGAGCTGCCACTGACATCAATCTCAGGAAACATATGCCTTTGCCCCTGGTTTTTACCCGGGGCCGTCCAACTCTCATAGTGCTCTCTACAGATAACCGAGTATTAGATAACAATGACTCGAGACTAGGACATGTCATTTAACCTGTCATTAAACATGATATCTCGGGCGGACAAATGGACGCCGTTTCTACCAGCCTAGTAATAACAGTATATAGGCCCCAAGTCTCTGATAATACCCCGGTGAAGAGCCTTCCATATCTGAGTAGAACCGGGCTTCTCTTTTTTTTTGGGCCCCATTTGTCGATCGAGATGATCATGTCATATAGTTCCATATCATTTTTCTCGGGTATTTCATGTAAAATACACTTTACAATATCTTGATTGAAGTTGAAATAGCACTGGCCATTTTCTCGAGAAGCAATTACTGAAGATCACGTCGTGATGTTCACGCTAGCCACATCGTACTTGATATAGTGAGCATTTAGGTATTTAGTCCACTCCGATTCTCAAGACTAGCACGTCTGCGATGTGGGAGACCATGCATGCTCGGTTGCCGTTAGCGGGGGCTTGAACGATCCCTTTGGCATGTTTGTTTTTTGGGACCGGATAAAACACTACTCCGGGAGCATTCATCTTTAGAGAGAGAGTATGTTGGCCGAGAAAGAGCTTCGAGCTGATCGAGCTGACCACGAAGAGCACTGACCGACTATATCGCCCACTGTACAGTGGTAGCAATATTAGTTTTCTATCTGTGGTACAGCAGAACAGAACAATACATGAGAGTGTCCAATCGTTAGATTAACTAAGATCATCCTACGGCGATGAAAGGAAAGGAGGAAGGAGAGGATACGGTTGGAAGAACTTTGACGCTGTGAAGGGATTGGTTGAGACGGGACGAGGGGAGAGCATGGCCATCGCGCCTTGGGCCAACAACTGTGCGGTAGAAAACTTACTATCTAGTAAACCAGAAAACATTTTCAACTCTATACCTCACTATCACCTCCCCGAGTCTCGCGAATCGACCCCTCTTCCCGACGATCTTAGGAACGACTCGAGTACAACTGAAGGCCTCTTCATTGGGATTAGGAGCGGTATCGAAGAATTCATGACAGACGGTTTTAGGATGCAACATGAAAATAAGCTAGACGACAGGTAAGCCTACAAGAAGCAAGAGGCGATAGAAAACTTTCGCCTCCTTAAACAGCACCGCTTCCAAAACCCCATTCATCTTCCAGAGAATGGACACGAGAGCACATTGATGCTGAGCATGATGGCGATATTCCTTTGCTTGAATGGCGACGGAAGAACCCTAAACCAAAGTTATCTTATCTTTACGATTTAACGGTCTCCCACCAGCGACAACGAGCGGCCCTACCCAGCCTCATTGATGATGCTCCAGTTACTGAAGCGGCATCAACGTCACGGGATTCATACCCTCGATAATCGAAAGGCGTCTTACGTTAGACTCGCAGCAATCAAATCATCAAGAATGGGTCAACACACGCGGAAGCCTCGCTACCTGATCGAAGGCGTCACCCTTCCGAACCTGACACACTCGAAGAGTTTAATGATACCACACGGACAGCACCTCAACACCGCAACAGGCAGCGCAAAACATACAAGGAGCAGCAAGCTGAAGGCGTCTAGTCTTCCTATTTCCTGGTTGTTCCATAAAGCTTATATCTCGGAGTAAAAAAGGGACATATCGCACAGTAGACTTAGAGCTCTCGACCGGGAAGTCTCTTAGGCCTGCCCAATTGAGTTAACATCCGCCTCGAACTATCTAGCGAAAATCAAGAAACCAGCTATTGGATCAGGTCCAACAGGCGAGCCGCGAATCCGCCATAGGTTGACTACAGGGCTCGGCGCCGCTGCGAATGTGTGATGAATCTGAAAGGAGGTATAGAAGGATCGGACTTATGTCGCGATAATTTTGCCGAGAGCACAACTATCTTCCCAGGGGTTTTTTTAGATGTGTAGGAAGATATCGTGAAGATACGTAAGCTGTTTAATGCGCTAGTAGATTAAGGTAGACCGGCGTCCATCTTCCCATCTTCATTATTTACTACTGCTAGAGGGAAATACATGTAGCGCAACACATAGCAACAAAAAAACAGCCGCGAAACGGTCCAGTAAAGCCGCTAGAAATCTAGGTATTCCTATCACAATACTGGGAAAATGCTTAATCAATAAGTATAGATAACAGCTATAAAAATATAGAGTCTCCCAGACCTGAATCGAACAGGTGATCTTTCGGTGACAGATAGCTATTACAGCCGAACGCGTTGAACCAACTACGCCACTAGGAGATGGTCACACATCCCGTCAGTACAAAATTATACGCTCGGTATAACAGCGCCTGGTGACTTAGCATAGCGGTACTCCGGCCTTCAGGAGAATATTTCATACGAAGCTAAAGGCTGTTCTTGGAACGAGTGGAATGGTAATTGATATTGTAGAAACGATGCAGGTAACCTAGTTGGCATCCACTGTGAGGGGTATTTTGAGTGCACTATCCGTCATACATGCCACAGTTCTATATATCTATGGCATTACCTATGCGAAGAGAACTGTGATATTCCTGAAGTGAGTCCACGGGCTTCAGTATGCTACCATACTCTCTGGGACCTGCACATACGTGTTAAGCTTTGACTTTCTATTTACCTCCAGCGCTGTCATTTGGGCATGTGAGATAGGCTATAGCGGTCGCGAATGATTTTGAGGCGATCACCTGTCACCTCTGCGGCCTCGTTGCTAATCGGATGTTACACGCGCTTGAACGCGCTGAACACCTCGTACGCTAACCAAATACAAAGCTCGGTGAGACATTTGAAATGGTCTTACATCTATTAAGACAGTCTCTCGCATCTAGAATTGAGGCTATTTAGCCCTCGCTTATCTAAGACATATTGGCAGACCCCGGAGACTAGGAAGGGCGGACCAGTTGTATATAGATTCAAGGACAGCCACCGAGCTCGTGCCGAGCTCGGAAGGGGGGTATGGACCTTGACAGCCAAAGCATATTATTATATTCTGAATAGAGTCAAGTTCTCAGTTCCAAGCCCTCACAGCAGCCCTTGTTATGCCAAAACTATCAAGGCTTAGATAAGCCAGAAGAGTTCTCCCCTAAAGAGATCACAAGCTGGAGCCATGCTCCTAACACCTGATTCAGGCGGGATACACAGGCCTAGAAGTTAGACAAGTAGAAGTTTCTTCCCTTAGCGAAAAAGGTCTTTTGGGATAGCCTCTTGAATTGGCTACTTCACTTCGACCATACTCAACCTTTCTATATCGGTCGCCAGATGAATATGGGTGATAGTCTTTTTGCCTTTCGAGGTGCAATGGGGATGCTCGGGGTAGCGTTACGCATCGAATGAGAAGTTATATAACGACTTCACTATTAGCCAATGGGCTGGGGATGTTGTTGTCGGGAAGGTCATATCTGATGCCGGCATTAGCCTCTCAAAGGCCTGACCAACGCGTGAGTGAGACATGCTTGCTACCCTTGACTTCGAATCCACGTCTTCGACTAGTCATTACTTTTAGTAATACTATGCAACTACATATTACTACTATATCAGCCCATATGACATTACTTCATACTATGACTTTGAATAATCCTAGAAATTGATGGTCAGTCTCGTGTTGACATTTATCCTTACGGAGTTATATTTGTGCATAAGCCCTTAGAATGTCGTTTTATCCGAGGAGCTAGATTGGGGACAATCTGTCAAACAAGATAGAAACTGAAGACGCCTCATTTGAAGAATGCATTCGAATCTCCGAAGCTAGGCCAGACTGTGTACGATTTTCTCTGAGCAGCCGAACTTGCAAAACTTCAAATACCGTAAGGTTGGGATACGAACAAGAACAGCCATCAGCCGAACAAGTCCATTCGGGGTGGATAAAACGACGCGTTGAGGCTTTTATGTGTAGTGGCCAGCAGTAAATATAGGGATTATGGACTTACATAAGCTATGTGGCTTAAGGGGGTGGCGCATGAATGGGGCTAAGCCTATATTAAAAATACCTAGATTAGGTACATCTTTCTTGAGCAACGAGCTTGAGACTCTTCAACTTGTTCTACTTCTTGGTGTTTGATACTAGTTAAGGTAACCTCCAGTTCTTGAGCCTTTCATACTAACACTTCAACATCTGTATGCAAACCATGCCTTTTGGTGTGCCACATGAATAGTAGATGATCGCCCTAGGACAAGTATTATACTGAAATAGTACTACGGTGTCTCCGAGCCATTATAACAGAATGAGTCAGTTCACGGGTTTAGCATAAGGAATCACCTTGACGCACCAATACTAGAACTTCTTCCATGGGGATGGGCAGATATGAGAAGTATGCCATCAAAGATTCTGGGTGATCCCACCCTGTATCTCTTCCAACAAGGTTGTAAGTTCCCCCCAGAACTTCTTCTGTGCGTCAAGACCTTCTTGGCTGTTGACGAAATCCGAGACACTGCCAGAGTACACGATAAGTGGGAGGTCTTGAGAAATGTGGGATGATGTTCCTACCTTCCAATTTTGCAGTCGTCCAAGTACTGTCCATGTGTCTCTCTCCCCCCTTGTGCAGCATGCACAATTGTTCTTGATCCCTCTTCGGCAGTGCGCCCAACTACTCTGACGTATGCTGACCAGATAAGAGCCCGGAGTCCTCGACCTTCTCGATCCAACCCAGTTAGAACCGAGCCTGGATTCGCCGTGGACACGACGATGTCACCGGGTTTCGAGGATTGCGTAATGGCCTCACTTAGCTGTCGAAATGCCAACAGTCCCAATAGTTTAGACAAAGGATATCTAAGAGAAGAAGCTTAGTAAAATGTGTATCTGATTATGAGGGTGTTGCTCCATTTTCTCACCTTTGTCTCATGTCTGCGTTATCTTTGTTGGCCAGGGCTTGTAAAATGCTAGGGCTATTGCGTTCAGGGAAACCAGCAAGCCAATGTACCAAGGATCCGGTAAAGGTCAGCACTACTTCTTTGCTGAATTGAACCGAGGTACTGCGAAGCTTCGGGAGTAGCAGAAATGCTAGAAAGAATGTGTTGATGACATTGACAGTGATGTCCTTCTCATTGCCCTCGACTAGGGTGAAGTCGTGTGTCAGTACTCCAGCATTCTGTACTACGACGTCTAATCTATCAAGACTATCGGCACGTGTAGCGAAGGCTTGAACCGAAGCGCGGCTTTCGAGGTCGAGTTCCCACACATCAACAACACCCTCATCCTTCCCAGTCGAATCGATGATTGAAGCCTTAGCTTCAGCCCCTTTCCTCAGATCACGTACTGCGAGTATGACTTTGGCAGCATCTAACCTCACAAGGTGACGGGCAGCCTCTAGACCAAGGCCAGAATTTGCGCCCGTGATAATGATTGTTGAACCTGAGAATGTCTTATTGGGAATGGGTAGCGTAAGAAACAGATGTGACCGAAAATATGAGAGGACAGGGGGCGCCATCTTGATTTACGAAGGATTATTATGAGTAAGAGCAATGCAAAATTGAATTTCGTGACGTGAAGAGTGATGCCGATTGAATCTTATATATTGTGGCATACGTGGATGAGCTCATACGATGAACGACCAACAAGAAGTGCGACCAGGGTAGATATGGACTAGGCAGACAATCTGGTTCCAGCGGCACAGTCCGATGCCACCTCAGACCCTTAGCGCTTGCACACATTCGTATTATTGCGAGTCTACTAATTTGAGTAATTACCAACAACTACATATCACGACAAACCTTATCTTCCTGTGTGGCGGATTTGTTTTTCAAGGGCTTTGAATAGTGATGAAATGCCTATCGCCTTATAATTTGCATGCGAGTTTACACGTATTCGCGGTTACGTTTATCATTGATAAAATAATATCGTGGTAGCAGATTTGAGTCGATATAGCGAGAACCATGTCTTTCCCGTTAAGCAGTTGAGCCTTCAGCTCGTCTATCTTACCCCTTTATCTTCCCCTTAACTTTGCTCTCGTGTCGGATAGAGTCGAATGCTATGAGGCTCAGAGTCGACCCAAACACAAAAGTTCCTAAGATATGATGACTCACCGACTAGGATGCCTCATGCAGCACTTGACATTTCGGTAATCGGCTATCGCTGAGCAAACGGGACGGGTTTACAAGAAGAGTGTAAATCCGAACAGGCTTGCCAGGTCCGAAGTCTTAAGGGGCCATCTAATATCACGCCTCCCTACATCTCTTGATCCCCTGCCTATCTACTCTCTGCCTCATACTACCACGAGACAGAATAAGTTCACAAGTGTCTAGAAAGGAGGGCCGAGTCTAATAAATGACAGAAACTAACAGTCAGACTTAGTACGACGCCAGTTCCGAGCTGGGACTCAACCCTTCGATCTGTGGTGTTGGTTTGTATCCCCAGTGTTTCAGCTTCTTCTGTTTCCGTTATCAAACGGCCGTGATATTAACTCGACAAAGAAACGAGACTATATACAGGAACATTCGGAATACTAAACTAAAGCAGCTCGCCTGGACGTGCGAGTGCGTATCGATTACGAATGGATGATAATTCGGGATGTATACAATACATAGGAATATGATAAATCATGATTAACTCCTAGATACGTTAAATAATAGCCATGTAAGAAACGATATATAGTGATTCAAATTTATTGATGGTAGTCTTGGTGAGAAGATGGGGAAAGGGAAGATGGGAAGATGAGAAACTATATAGCTAGAAAACCAGAGTCGAATCTTGAAGAAACAACCTAATCCACATTTGCAGCCTTATTAGTCAACGAGTAGAAAGTGATAGGTGCTTAATATACAGCTTAAAATAACACATAGGGTAGTGACAGCGCCAAGTATGACGGTATTACCCATTGACCGTAACTTGAAAACGGCTTTCATGACTCTTTTGACTGGCAGTGGTAGGTGCTAAAGCTATGCAATTAGTTACATATGTTATGAACTATAGAAAAGAAAATTTCGCCTTTACTTAATCTTATCTTGTTTTTCTTCCTCCTTTATCTCTCATCACTTCATATCCCCTGCCTACCTTTAAATACATGTATATATCTCGTCGACGCAGACTACGCACAAATGGCCGCTAAGCCTTCGACCTAGTTAAAAAGTCTGTCTAAAGTAACTAGAAGGCTTTGGGGGATTGGGCACTCGGCTTAGATTTCGCTTCGATTCCTAAACTGGCCCGACAAAACAACTTTTCGTCTTTGGACAGGCTATCATCATTGCTGTTCAGTAAACCGAGGCTGACGCTATGCGGGAGTCATATGACGATGATTCTCGACAAAGGTCGTTTTGCCTGGCTTGTGCCTCTG